GCTTTGCCTCAGGCTCCACAGAATGGAGTCAACAATCTATGGACTAACATCTCTGAAAATGTGATCCCCAAAATAAACTTTTCCTCCTCTAATTGTTCTTGTCAGGTCTTTTGTTTGCAGCAGCAAATTAGGTGACTTAAACACACACACACGAAAATAATATCTGTCTGAAATTTAAACTTAACTGTGAATTCTGTATTTTTATTAGCTAATTCTGGCAACCCTACTTACAATATGCCAAGAATTACTGTAAGAGTTTGACATACTTTGCTTTTAACTGTCACAGTATTCTGAAGTAGATATAGTTTCCAAGTGTGTCAGCTGTGGCTTAGAGATGTTTAGCAATTTTGCTTCAATGCTAGCAAGAGGGATTCAAAAATCATTTCTGTTGGATGGCGAAGCTCATATACGTTTTACCACTAGGTTACTTTCCAAGGTTAAGACTGTCGTTTCCACAATGAAATTGTACAACATTCCTGATTCACAAAACTGGAAGCTAACCTGCAAAGTGAAGAGCAGGCAGAAACCAATACCTCAGGATCCTGAGTGGATGGGACACAGATTATATGCTAGATTAGAAGGAGGAAAGACAAAAGAGTGGAAATAAAAGTGCCAAAGGTATATTTCAATAAATGCTCTGATGAAAACCTCATTTGGGCTGGAGCTGGAGCTCAGTGGTAGAGTGCTTTCCTTGCATGTGTGAGGCACTGGATTTGATCCTCAGCACTATATAAAAATAAGTAAATAATGATACTGAGTCCATCTACAACTAAAAAAAAAAATATTAAAAGAAAAGAAAACCTCAATTAAGACATTCAAGTTATAAGCATGTATTGATTAGGTTAAAGCTTTAATTAATAATTAATTAATCTACGGGGATGGATTAACCTGGTGGTAATACTAGGCAAGTAGAGAGGTGGGTCACTGATGCATGCCTTTGGGTTTATCTTTTGTCCCTGATGAGCCGAGCTCTCTGAGCTGCTTTCCTTCACCACGCCATTCTGATATACTGTATCATCTCAGGCCCAGATCTATGGAGTCAGCTATGGCCTGAGACTCTGAAACCATGAGTCACAAATAAAATTTCCCTTCTCTATGTTGTTCTTGCCAGGTCTTTTGGTCACAGTTCCACAAAAGCTGACTAAAACATTCTGTTTCTTTGTCCTCATCATAAAAAGCATGCTGTTCTGCCATTGTCCAGAGGGAGCTCTCATTCTATTTGGAAGAATAAGGGTGCCCAGATTCATAAATTGTTGGTGAACAAAAGTCCGATTAGGTCTACAACTGAATGGTTGTAATTTTGTTTTTTGACAAAAAGCTTCCCTGTCTTCAAGGCAAGTGGATTTTACCTTGCTACACTCCTGCCATGCCTTGTGCTTTTCTATTTACTGTATGGTCTCATTTAATTCTTCTCCATTTGTCTTGAAGTGCTTGGACAGCACTGACTCCATTTGACCTCTGCATGTGTTGTGTTTACCATTTTTAAGGAGTGTAGGAGATAATCACTAGTTACATATGTGACTTAATCAAAGTTAAAGAACTGTGTAACTGCAGGGAACCACAAATCCTCCAGACTTCAGAAAAGCCCATCCAGGACTAGGCATCTTTTTCAGGGTACACTGGTTGTGAATACTATGTTTCCTTCTGCATTCATTTGCAAATGAGGTGACCCTATTGTCTATGCTTATGTGTTTGCCTTCCTGTGAATGACAATCAACATCCGGAGAAACAATTCTCAACATACGCAGTTTTCATTAAACCATAATTTGGAGTAAAATGCAGAACCTGATATCTTTTATTACATTCTTGGTTTCAAGGAAAGGGAGCTCATCTGTTGTAGAAAAAAATAAATAATCTGATTTTTAATTTATATTCCATTAGAATTCTATACCTTCAGACTTTCCACCTCAAGCAAGTTATAATGAACCTAAAAAGGCATACCATGACAAGCATTCACATGTCATTTTCTCAAAAGTATTTAAGAAGTCTGGTATTTCCTGAAAGGTTTCCTTGAAGGAGGATTTCTGTATTCTAGAAAAGATGGCAGGAGTTTCTTGGCTTTTGAAAAGTGTGGAGAGCTTGATCCTAGTTCACAGTGAATACAGTTGAGGAGGGAGCTGTTTAACAGCCGCCTAGTCTTTTCAAAACCCTTTCTAAACAGTGTTGACTTCTTTCTTATATTAATAGCTAACTTCAAAAATATTACAAATATCTGTGTATTTGCATTAACTCCTCTGGCTGAATTCATCCAGGGCTTGAAATGTACTATTTCAGTATTTTATTTTTGGAGGACAAACAGATTGCTTTCCAAAGAGTAGGTATTTATTTTTTGCCAAGTGAATGGCATACAATGGTCATTTTTAATGAGTCATTACTTAAATATGGCATGTGGGTTTATTAACATGAAAGCTTAGAACCAGTCCATTGGTAAAAATATTGTCTCTTATTATCTCTATAATAACTTTATTATGGAAAAATCAGCTGTAATTGGTGCCATGTCTAATGCTCAGAGAAGTTCCATTTTAAAGATTAAATTAAAACTTGAATTTACCCATATTTAAGTCTATTAAAGGAACATAGTTTAAATTTTACATGAATTTTTCTCCCATTAGAAGAATTGAATCAATACATTTAAATATATCCCTTTCTTAGGCATACTCTGTGAATTTTAGAAACCAAAATCATTGGTCTATCACCAAAATGCTTGCCAAGAAACAAGATCAATTATTTCTCTGGATAGAACACAACTAATAATAGCCCTGATTCTTATTATGAATAAAATATAAAATTTCAGAGTTTATAAAGTTTCAAAAAAGGATGATTCTAATTTGAAGATAGGGGAGAAAATAAAAACCTACAAATGACTCAAATATTTCAGGGATTGTTGTGAATATACTTTATATACAGAGTCACGAAAAATTGTGCTGTACATGGGTAATAATGAGTGTAAGGCATTCCACTATTGCCATGTATGTAAAAAATAAATAAATAAATAAATTAAAAAAAAATCTCAGTCAGGATGATAAACAGATCCAAACAGGGATTAAAGAATATTCATTTACTATTTCAGTCATGAAATAACTATGCTTATTCTTCTTCAATTTGTAAGATTTTCAAAATGTACTAACATGAATTCTTTCCTGAGGGATGATTAAGGAAGCCAGACTGAGTTACAGTTATGTAGTTAGAGCTGGTGAAGAGAAAATTACTTGGGACTTTGACCTTCTTCAAGCAGGATACCAATGGGAAATTGTTAACTAATGTTCCCATTAGAGAAGATAAGAAATGAGATAATGGGAAAATCGAACAGAAAGTAATAAAATAGTCTTTCTATTTTCAAACTTTTTCTTTTAAAGCTAGCTACTTTATTAATAGTAGATAAAATTATGATGTTAGCCACCTGTTAGTAGTGGCTGTCCAGTTAGTCTAATCTCAAATGATGGATGGGCCATGTGAATATCTAAAGAAACCATCACATCCTTATTTCTTTCTCTTGAAGGAGCCATTTATGGTTTATTCACATTCACTGTCCTATGTAAGCTATTAGACACAATAAGCTGGTGAGCAAGAGGCAAGTTTTTGAGACAGTGATACATATGCAATTTAAATAATCACAGAAAACAACAAAGAGCAGAGCGAGCTTGTGATTTCATAAATTATATTATGCAATTTTCCAACAGATACAAGATTCAGAACTTATGGCCAGAGAGTTCCCCTTTTCTGTAACTCACATTTAAGTGGTACAAAACTACTGGTACTCTAGATATTTAGAAAACAGTCTTAGAAATTTATCAAACAAGGGTTATACCGAAACACTTCTAAAACTTTATTAAGTGATTATTCTCAGAGACACAAAAACTCCTTGGGGAAGGCCTTCTTGGTCAACAATGTACCAATCAATTGTATTTAAATCTTATTGATTCTGTTTACCTAATGAAGAGATCTTAACGAATTATAAGACATTTAAAAATTCATGCATTTTCTTCATTTCAGTACAGTATTCAAGCAAATATTCTCTAGGACCTACCGGAAGAAATACAGGAGCATTATATATAGGATAATATTTTATGTATTTTAAATCAAAATTCCTTGATTAGCAGATGGAAACTAGAGGATATTATCCACAGGCAGGGGGCAAGGACAAGACATATAAAAATTGAGAAAATAAATGAGGTAAGTAATGGGGAGTCATTAATGGAGCTCACCCTCCAAGAGTCAAGGAATCAGCCATGAAGGGCCCTGGAGATCTATGCTTCCCTCTCTGGGAAATAACACTTGGTGTGTTTCTAAGCAAAGATGACTTTCTTTTTTTTTTTTTATTTTTTGCAAAGATGACTTTCTTGAACTGTGCTAGAAAAATTTCAATCTATTCTTTAAAATAGCTTTATGAATAAAGCAAATTTAAAGACATTTTTCCTACTTTGAATGAATGAGAAATCTTTCCCAGTGCAATGCTTCTGTACTGCACTATGAAAGAAAACTGCATAAGGGAATAAAACTTGGCTGAATTGGGAGCTTTTACAATATTTTGACTCTTTAAGTCATAGTTTCCTCATCTGTAAGATGAGGATGCTGGATAAAATTATGTCTACATCTAATGACTTCTCCAAATGTGCCATTAACACGGTTAATCAATTCTACAACAGAAAATTCAAAGACTGGTAAACAGGAAGCAAATTACCAAGTCCCTATATAATCATGTCACCTATATTAACTAGACAACAGTTTTTCAAGTGAGTTTCTCTAATAGTAAATATCCATTATTGGATCCTAAGATCAACTTAATGGATTCTAACCATCATTTAACAGAATAATAATAAAAAATTATTAGAGTGTGTTACAAGATATAAAGACAAATATTGTGAAAATTTACACAATGTGTGTGTGTTCATCATACAATAAATTCAATTATTTATTCTTCAACGTCATTATCAACATCAACAGGCTACTTATTTAGAGTGTCTTTATTTGGACTAAGGGGAAAAGAGATTTTTACTCACCTATAGTGGGGTCATGATAATCAGGAAACTGATGACTGATAAACTGCATTGTCATTGCTGAAAATAAAAATAAGTTTAAGTTTAATAAAAAAATCAGCAATTCACTAATAACCCATTCACTTTGGTTCACCAATCTTTTTTAATAGGTTCTGGTGAACAACACATTTATGTGAGTGACTGATTATATTATATGAGCCACAAAATGATAATTAGACATAGTTCTTAAGGGGGAAAAGAAGGCAAATAATGACAGATATTTCTCTAGAATAAATATATTTGAATTTTGAGTGTATTTCCACTACAATTGAATTGGAGTGAAAATCAAGAAGCTCTTGATATAGTGAGACTATAAACTAACTGTAGGTCCCTCTTAGCCTGTTCTCATTAAACAATTGGTAATAACCAGAGTGATGTTCCACTAAAAGATCTGTATATTTGGGGGAACTCAAGTATCTCATCGTAAAATAAGAAGATAATCTCTAGAGTTCCTTTAAGCTATAATACATTATAGTTATCATCCTTTGATTATATTCTTGATGATATTATTTTATTCATAGTTAACTTTTTTAGTTAAGTTTTTTCAGTCACTTTTATCTTGTCTAATTCATGTTAATTACTATGACTTTTCACTACTTATTCTGTCGTTCTGAAATTCTCCATGGTTTTTACAAACCCTTAAAATGTAAAATATTTTTAGTGTTTCTGTTTTCAAGAGTTTCCTTGTGATTTTTCATTGTTAGGAGACAAGGGACCTCTGAATTAAATAACAAACTATATAAAAAAAGCAATATGTATGTTGACAAAGACTCTTGAGTAGAGATTTGCTGAGTTCTTTTTTAACTTGGCCTCAACTTTGGCCCTGTTGCTTGTTTCTACCCTGCAGGGTATGCATAGCTCAGTTGTAGCAAGAACACTACTAAGTCAGTTCACAGGGAATCATTTCTGATAACCCTGGCCTAGCAAGAATCCCTGTTAAATCAGCTAAGCAAAAATCCTCCTACCCTTGATGTCTCTTCTTGGTAATTTTCTATCTACGGATGCAACCCCTCCTCCTCTTCCTTCTTTCTCATTCTGCTCCTTGCCTGTGAATCCCTGTTAGTCCTATTATATTCAGAATTCAGCCCAGTTCTATACTTAAATCCCTTTTTTCTCTATAGCAATAGTTCCTGAATATAATCTATCTTTACTGCCTTCACTATTGTATTGTCTAGCTCTGGTTCTCTTTAACAGTATGTTCACACTTTAGCAAATGTTCAGAGCAGAGAACACTCAGTTAAATTCAACATACATGTAAAAGGCACTTGCTTGTTGAGAAATACAAAGAAATGGAACCTGACCCAGTGGAAGAGAATTTCTGTGTACACTTCAATGGTTGTTTTCCTCCTGTTTTTGAGTCCTCAAAGGGTGTCTTTTTATGAAAGTGTTAATTTGGCAGCTTTGGAAAAATTTTTGAAATGCAAATCAAGTTTCCTTACAGACAACCTTAGGAATTTTGAGAATTTCAGGAATATAAACTGAAAGCTACATCTTTGTTGGTTTCAGATATTAGATATATATTTTAAAAATCATTTGGGAATTTCTTGGATCCAATCCAAGATGGCGGAAGGAAGAGAGTGAGCCACCCTGTACCTGCGCAGCCAGACCCTCAGATCTCGCCTAGTAGGAATACTATATCTCCAAGAGTGTTAGAGGTCCCCTATCCAGCTGCTCTCTGCAGAAATCACCAGCGCTGTGACCTCATGTGGGGCTCTGGGCCTCAGCATTAGAGTAGGATGCCTGGCGTTGGAGCAGGACTCAAAGCCTCAAAGTTCCAATCCATGCAAGACTTGTGGAGTGCCTTAGCAGAATCACCTATCAACACACCTGCAGATCGCCAAGACTCGCTTCACTCCCACGCAGGACATTCAATTGCTATCTACCCACAGTACAATGCCATTGCCTGGCTCCCCCCACCTCACCAGACTCTCTCCACCTCACCAGACACCCCGGTGCTGAAAGCAGACCGCCACCATCTTGGCTCAACATTCTTGCATTTAGCTGGGGTAATTCCCAGATCAGATCTCCAGCAGCCAGGTACCAGGTTTCCCCCCTCCCCAGCAGCCAAACCCAACACAGTAGCTACCCTACACAGGTGTGCAGTGCTACCAGGAAGCTGCCCACGGGAGCACTGGGGTGAGAGTTTCCTCAATTGGGAACTGCTGGGGGAGAGGGAGAGACCAGGAACTGGGAAATCTCCAGGCAAGAGAGGGAGATAGTACCAAGCACGCTAACATCGCATGAGCGAGAGTTCCCAAAAAGAGACCAAGAAGGGGCTGGGGATGTGGCTCAAGTAGTAACACGCTCGCCTGGCATGCGTGGGGCGCTGGGTTCGATACTCAGCACCACATAAAATAAAATAAAAAGATGTTGTGTCCACCAAAAACTGAAAAATGAATATTGAAAAAAAAAAATTTCTCTCTTTCTCTTTTTTAAGAGAGAGAAAGAGAGACCCAGAAGGTGCAGTCTTTCTGCAGGGGACTGGTGGATTCCACTCCCTGCATCCAGGCACCCTATGCAAGGACCATCTTCCCACCCTGGTTACCTCCACCATCCTGAGGGCAGAGACACCAGTTTGCAATAGACAATGCCACCTACAGGATGAGAAGAGAAGCAGGAGTGATGCGGATCTCTAAAGCTGACTACCACCCTGGTTTCTTCCCTTGTTGGTTGGTTGGTTGGTTTATTGGTTTGTTTCTTTTTTCCCTTCTACCACTCCATCCTCCGGCCCTCACATCCCCAACATATGTGAAACCTTTGCATGAAAGAGGACTTTGAGGACTGAGTCATCTCAATAATATAATATAGAGGTGTTGTATATGCCCTTTTTTCTTTTTATTCTTTCATTTTTCGTTCCTCCTCCAAATTTTACTGTCTTAACATCTGTATTTTTCTAAATACATATGTGTGTTTGTTTTATGTACTCTACTGTCTTCCCACATACCTACCCTAAATTACTTCCTATCTATACTCTTGCTACTAACCCTCTTTACTAGATTTCTCCTTCATACTTCCTAAGATATATTGACTCTATATCCTCACATCCTACCTTCTCAGCATATCATCCTAAGCTCCACCCCCATGTTATTGTCCACTGTCAGAAACTATAAACCATTTTAGAAAACTACTGATTATATTTTAGATAATAATTTAATCCAACATTTCTGTACATTGAGACTAAAGTGTAAATATCTTAATAACAACAAATTGTTGATATTGGAATCTGTTAGCATTGTCCTTCCCTGCAAAGGAGAGATCTTGGAACTCTACAAGAGCACTACAAACCTATAGGGTAAAAACAATAACAATCTAGACCCACAGAGCTGGAAAGGATGACACACGAGCAACATGAAAAGACAAGGGAAGAAAGTGCCCCAAACAAATGAAGACACCAATTTAAGACATTCAAGTTATAAGCATGTATTGATTAGGTTAAAGCTTTAATTAATAATTAATTAATCTACTGATATGGATTAACCTGGTAGTAACAATCATAAATATATATGCCCCAAACAATGGTACAGCTATGTTTATCAAACAAATTATTCTCAAGTTCAAGAGTCAAATTGATTACAACACAATTATCTTGGGTGACTTTAACACACCTCTCTCACCACTGGATAAATCTTCAAAAAAAAGTTGAATAAAAACAATAATATAATCAACAACTTAGGCTTAACTCACATACATAGAATATTTCAACCTGCATCAAGCAGATATACTTTCTTCTCAGCAGCATATGGATCCTTCTCTAAAATATACCATAAACTATGCCATAAAGAAACTCTTAGCAAATACAAAAATGTAGAGATACTACCATGTATTTTATCAGATCATAATGGAATGAAACTGGAAACCAATAACAAAATAAAAAATAAAAATTACTCCAACACCTGGAGACTAAACAATATGCTACTGAATGAACAATGGGTTGCAGAAGACATCAAAGAGGAGATTAAAAAATTCTTAGAGATAAATGAGAACATAGACACAACATATAGAAATCTCTGGGACACTATGAAAGCAGTTCTAAGAGAAAAGTTCATTGCATGGAGTTCATTCCTTAAAAGAAGAAATAATAAACAAATGATAAACAAATAAATGACCCTACTTTATATCTCAAAGCCCTAGAAAGAAGAACAAATCAACAGCAAAAGCAGTAGAAGACAAGAAATAATTAAAATTAAAGATGAAACCAATGAAATTGAAACAAAAGAAACAATTGAAAAATTGACAAAACAAAGAGTTGGTTCTTTGAAAAAATAAATAAAATTGACAGACCCTTAGCTATGCTAAGGAAGAGAAGGAGAGAGAGAATTCAAACTATCAGCATATGCGATGAAAAAGGTAATATCTCAACAGACACTACAGAAATACAGAGGATAATTAGAAATTATTTTGAAAACTTATACTCTAATAAAATATAAGATAGTGAAGGCATTGACAAATTTCTTAAGTCATAAGACTTGCCCAGACTGAATCAGGAAGATATACATAATTTAAATAGACCAATATCAAGTGATGAAATAGAAGACACCATCAGAAGCCTACCAACCAAGAAAAGGACTGTACAGTTACACAGCTGAGTTCTACAAGACCTTTAAAGAAGAACTAGTACCATACTCTTCAATTTATTTCAGGAAATAGAAAAACAGGCAGCACTTCCAAACTCATTCTATGAGGCCAATATCACCCTGATTCCAAAACCAGGCAAACACATATCAAAGAAAGAAAACTTTAGACCAATATCTCTTATGAACATAGTGCAAAAATTCTCAATAAAATCTGGCAAATTGAATACAAAAACATATCAAAAAGATCATGCACCATGATCAAGTGGGATTCATCCCAGGTATGTAAGTTTGGTTCAACATAAGAAAATCAATAAATGTAATTCATCACATCATTAGACTCAAAGAATCGTGATTATCTCAAAAGTCGCAGAAAAAGCATTTGACAAAATACAGTACCCCTTAATGTTCAAAACACTAGAAAAACTAGGGATAACAGGAACATATCTT